AAATATTTGTTTAAAACATCTTCCAATTTCAAAAACAAGACATGTTTATTATCAAATATTTGTGATATATCAAGAAACAGAAAAATTTAACCAGGCAGAGCATTCTATCATCCAAAGTAAATCACTAAAACACTTTGAGGTGTGAGACCTCAAGTTATATTTTTAGTGAAGTTAAACTCCTTTTATCACATGTTCAGACATGACTTCTATATTTTCTTAAACTTATAAACTTAAAAGTATATAAAATCATTTATATATTTTCTTTGTATTTTACCTTGGCTCATTTTTTATACAGGGTTCTTGATTTTTCCTTATTGATTTATAAGAATTTGATATTAATTACAAACACATGTGGCTGTTTTTCTCCATTATCAGCTTTTGCCTATTACAATTATGATTATGTTTATGAATGCTAAAGAGCTTGCTCATCTTCACTGAGTGAAATCTATTAACTTTTACTTCTGTGGTCTCTCCCTTTGTCATGATTCTAACCCAATATTATAAAAAAACAACAAAGTGTATATATTCACTCATGGATTAATCTCAAGTTTTTATTTGAATTATTGTTGAAATGTTTTAAATATTTGAATTTATTTTTCTTAAGACTGCATAATGAACCAGACTTATTTATTCCCAAATAACTGCACCTTTACCCTCAAGAGGATTTTTTAATATAACTCTATTTCTGAACATTCAAGTTTCTTTCACCTACTTATTATTCTACCTATTCTTATGAAGATAAAATATAATTTTGTTACTCTAGCTTTATAATACATTTTAAAATCAAGCAGATTTCTCTCCCTCATTGTTCTTTTCAGTAATTTTCCTAGCAATTCTCAGGAGGACATTTAAGGAAAGGGCTGGTGGGAGAAGAGGTAGACATCTTCCTACACTTTGCTGGTGATGATTCTTTGTAACATGATATATGATTTATGATTATTTGCAGTCCTGGCTATCTGTAATACATTGCTGAATCCATAATCATCAACCTTAGTTTTCAGTACTGCTGCAACTCTGAACGTTTTAGGTCAGAGATGATAAGCCAGCACAGCTAACTATTACAGGCCTCAAGTTAACAGATTATTTTTTAAGTTCCTTTACAGCTGTATGTAAAGTAAACGATTCTCTGATTTGAAGTCCTTGACAGCTAAGTGCCAGCTACATTTCTGGGAGGATTTATTCAGGGTTAGAACCTACTTGAACTTTACAAAATTTTATAGAATTCGAACTTAGAATATGCATTAAGTTCTATAAACTAATATACCAGAGGTAAGCAACTCTTAGAATTAATGAGTTTATGGTTCTCTGAGATTTTTGTGAAAGTTATATATGTATGTGCACAATTTTCATCAAAATGTAACAATAATCTTTAAAATTTAATATATAACATTTTAAAATTTAATACTTTTACACATTTTTCCAATCAGCCCATATAGATTTACATTTTTAAATCATTCCATTAATGATGGGCTTTTGGGGAGCTTTCTAATTCTTGGTTTTTAGTGACAATGTCTTGATGAGCACTCTTGATCACTTTTCTTTGAAAACTTCGGCTCTGAATCCCAGAAGTGGAGGTTCTCCAGTGAAACTGTTGCAAAACTTTTAAATCTAAATATAGTGTTGAATTCCCACCCCCCAAAATATATTGTGCCTATATACAAAAAGTAATATATAAGAATCCTTAAAACTCCATCTCACATTCTGACCAAGTGAATTTATTTTTTAATGTGATAAATAAAATTAGTGTTTTACCCTTCATTTCTTTAATTTCATTATTTTACCTTTCATTTCTTTAATTACCAATGAGTTTGAGTACTTTTTTGTTTAAAGATATTTGCAGTTCTACTTCTGTGATTTGCCAATCCATATGATGTCTCCACTTTTCCATTGTTTCTTTAACCTTTTCTAATTAACCCAAGATAACAGGTCTTTGTTTCATTTGTTAAAAGTACATTCTCATCTCTTTTTTTAAGTTCACTCTTATTTTTTTCACTTTCATAAGGTCAAAACAAATGACTTTTTATCTTCATGGATTCTAGTTTTTACATAATATTTAAAATATTTTATTGGCACCATTATGTTAAAATATTTAACTATTTTTGCTTTTACTAATTTCATAGCTTTGTTATACAGATGTAAATTTATTTTAATGAGAAACAAGGTTGGGAATCTGATCTCGCCATCCTTGATTGCTAATTAACATTTCCTGAATATTTTCCTTACTGATCCAAAAATCTATCCCTCTCAGATATGACATTTATATAAGTGTCTGTGTCTAGTCTGGACAATCCTTTATGTTGTATTTTGCTCTGAGTTCTTCTTACTCTGAAATGCTGGAATTCTACAATGTGGAGTAAGTATTGCATGAAGGCAAACACTAATGTATCATGTGGAGGATTACACGTCAAAAGGACAGGATTTGGTGGGAAAACTTCAAAGTAAAACTTTAGCAAGTTTCCTCTTTCATCATCTCATGGAGAAACACACAAGGGCTGGGTAACTGCTGTATGTGTCCTAGGAAAGTGAACTCATCTGCTTCCTAGTCTAGATTTTAATCAGGCAAACCTGAGAACACACTAGGGAGAAAGATTAAAATGTCAAACCTCAGAAGCTGAGAAGTATGAATTATGAGGCCAGATTTATAGGTAAATAGGATAAAGCGAACTGCTAGCATTTATTGATACAATGGAACTCTGACTACAGGAAGACCTCTTTCCCAAAGAAGAGCCACCAGCACCAGTTGACTTGTCACAGTGCAACCCTCTTGGTTCACCAGTGAGCAGTTCTGTTTGTCTCTTTGCAAATGTATTACTGTTATTTCTTGCTATCATCAAGTGGAGGTTTTATGATATTTTTAATTTCATTGGTTTATCTTCATATCAAACTGTCTCATCACATAGCTTTATAGAAGGTCTTGTAGAATGTAAGTACTATAACTATAATCCTCTAGCTTTGTTCTTCTAAATCGCCTTGATTTAGATACATCTCAGTTTCTCATTTTGGCCTTTTGCATTTCAACGCACATTTTGGAATCAACTGGTCAATTTTCAGAAAACAGCTCTTTGGAATCAGATTTGGAGTATATTGCATATACAGATGTATTTAAAGATAATTGGCACATTTTCCATTCATGAACCTGTTATATCTCTCCATTTATTAGATGTTTGTTTATTGTCATTTTAAAATCATTATATTGTTTGCCTTCATATCGTTAATTATATAAAGAGATTTCCTAATATTGAACCATGTTTGCATTCCTACAATAAAAAATAGTTGTTAGAATAAAAGCTAAAAAGTCATGATTTGTGAGGAAGTGGAAGTATAAATTTGTAGAACCCCTTGTTGAGAGTTTGGCATTATTCAATTAACTGAAATTGACCTAGTAATTCTACTTCTAGTTACATAATCTTGAAAAAGTCTTTCACATGTAAATAAACTTGTACACATACATTAATTGCACCATTTTTATGATAACAATTCATCAGTAAACAAATTTTATTTGCAGATTATTATGGCAGAATATCATGTATTCATTTTTATAAGCTATACACAAAACAGTAAGATGATTAGTAAACTTTACCTCTGCCAGTATTTTTAATTCTATTTTAAAATTGTAAAGCAAAATGATAAAAATACAACTATTTGTTAATTCTGAATAGTAGGAGGGAGATCTTTACTGTTATTCCTGCTCTTCTCTGAATTCTTAAGGCATTTCAAAATATTTTAAAGCTACATTGTATGTTTATTTCTAGTAATGGTCAGATATAAATTCTTTTGTGTTTTCTCCCCTTTTCTTTTTCATTTTCTTCAGGTATCACTAAAGAAAAATTGTTGTGGTACTAACCTTAGATATCTAGCATATCTCCCTTGGTATCTTGCTTCAATAATTCTGACTAGCATTAGTCCTATTTAAATGGGTGTCATTCCACATGGGTCTGTTTTCCTCACTTAGAACATGGATGTGTTCCCTACTATAGATCCCCTTTCTTTATCAAAACTCTACAATTATAATGCCCTTATAATGAAAGGTTTTCACAGATCTGTTTGGATTCAGCTACATGACAGAGAATGCAAGTTAAGTGAGGCAGTGGAAAGCCAGCAGCAAGCATCCTCTTATTCTGCCTCTTAGCACCGTACCTCCCAAGCTACTAACTTCATAAGCCCAGAGGTAAAGTCGGGGTCCATGGGAGAAGACTTAAATATACAGACCTATCTTCCACCATAGATTCATGCATCTTAAAGATTCATAGTGTTTATTATCTCTGCTCATCTGACTTTCAGCAGCAACTACAGAACTGACTCCAAGATTGTCAGTCTTTTGTATTCCATCTACTCAATTTTATTTTTCTTGGTCCTCTTCTCAATTAGAAAACCACTTGGCCTTGCCTGCACTTACATGCCCCTTGCTATTACACAGTGTGGAAATAGACGTCAAGATGGTATGGCCTTCTTCTTTGTCTATGGAGGACCAATACATCCATTCCTCAAATTCTGAAAGCGTGTCAGGGAACATTCACACTCTCTCGCCAATTGAAGTACTCACTTTTCTCAAGACTAGTACAGATATGAGTTACATATTGACAGATTCAATTTCCTTCAAATATCTTGATTTACAGCAGATATTCCTCATAACATCTGTGAAGAAATTACAGCTATTCTTTTTTTAAATTTTGGATTCAGTGCTCAATACTTTTGATTCTGTTTTTGCACATTTCAGTGGATTTTAGAAAGCAAACAAGTGCACAGGTATTTCATCTCCCAACTTTAACTCATACTTCAATCTATTTTTATTTTCTTTTAGGTAATATATACCAACAGCCAAACAAATGGAAAAAGAAAACCACACTATGGTGTCTGAGTTTATTTTGCTGGGACTCACAGAGTTTCATGAGTTACAGATTTTCTTTTTCTTATTTTTCTCCATTATCTACACAGCCACTGTATTAGGTAACCTCATTATTGTCTTTGTGGTGAAACTGAACCCTCAATTACACTCTCCCATGTACTTCCTATTGGCTAACCTCTCCTTTATTGATATGTCCCTGGCCTCCTTTGCTACTCCTAAGATGATCTGTAACTTAATTAGTGAATATTAAGTCCATCTCCTATGAAGGCTGCATGGCCCAGATGTTCTTCCTGCACCTTTTAGGTGGAAGTGAGATGATGTTGCTCGTAGCCATGGCAATTGATAGATTCATTGCCATATGCAAACCCCTCTATTACAAAAATATTATGAGCCATCGTGTTTGCATTGGACTTGCACTTCTCTCCTGGACCACTGGTTTTATGCACACTATGAGCCAAATGGTTTTCACAGTGGCTTTACCATTCTGTGGCCCCAATGTTGTGGATAGTCTTTTCTGTGATCTGCCTCAGGTGATCAAACTTGCCTGCACCGACACTTACATCTTGGAGCTATTAGTCATTGCATTCAGTGGAGTACTTTCTTTGTTCTGTTTCATCTTTCTGTTCATTTCCTATAGCATCATACTGATGACTGTCCTGCATCGCTCCTCCAGTGGATCTTCCAAGGCTTTGTCCACTCTTTCAGCCCACATTACAGTGGTGATAATGTTCTTTGGACCTTGCATCTTTATCTATATATGGCCATTCAGCAGTGTCTCCATAGATAAGGTCCTCTCTGTGTTTTATACTATTTTCACTCCCCTCTTAAATCCAATCATCTACACGTTCAGGAAGAAGGCAATAAGAAAAATAAAGAACAAACATGTGGGTTCCAGGGCAACCTTTTAACTGGTATTGCAATCATCAAAGCCATCATCACCATCATCACCTAAAGACAGTGAGGCATATGATACTGTATCAAACATAAGCCACATTTTGTGATATGATAATACTTTCCTATACAAGGAAAGTATTTTTTCATACTTTCTTATATGAAAAAAACATCCTGAATTGTGCATCCAAGTGCAAACCATTCCAATATAATACCATTCATTTATGTTGTGTTTTTAATTTTTCTATAAACTAAGTTAGATTTTAAATACTATTTATTGAGTTCCAACCATACATGAGGCAGTTTGCATGCATTTTCTCTTAACTTTACAATGAAAATAGAGAATATTATTTACATATTATAAATAGAAAACTGAACATTATAAAATTTAATGAGCCACAGAAATTGTACCATACCTAGAAATAGATCCTACATCTGGCTACAAAATACATGCTTATTGAAGTAAGTATCTATTTAAATTCTAATAACATTCATAAATTTTTATTTTCTCCGTTACATGTCATAGTTACCAATAAATAAATTTTTCCAAGTGGATAAAACAATTTCCCTTTGATCTAAAAAATCACCAGCCATTTCAGTCTCCTTATGCTTCCAATTCAATAGAAAAGAGCTTATTAAACCAGCTAAGAAGATTGATCCCAATTATCAAGGTGTACTAAGATTAGTGTTACTCAATAAATTCAAGATCATATCTGAAACACAACTGCTTCTCTGTGGTACCTCCCTCACAGTTTTTGCATATCAAGTTGTAAAATTAAATAAAAATTACTTCACCCAGTAAAAATAAAAATTTGGTTCACTCCCCCAAGTAAAGAATCATCATCATTGGAGATTGAAGATGAAGACAAGAGAATACAATCGCCAGTAAAAGACAACAGCCATAAATATTAACTGAGTTTCATGACCCATTCAAAAACTAATGATTATAGAAACCAAGAATATTTTCTTCCTAAGTTGTGTATAATAGTAACTGTGTACTTGTGGTATTTGTTAACAAAATTTCAAATTCCTTTTTTTCTTTTCTTTTTCTTTATCAAGGAAATGTTGGTGGTTAATTTTACAATTTAATCACTAGGTTACATAATATTCATGTGGGATTATGACATTAGAAGAGATACCAATACCACGCTGAGATGGATACAGTAAACTATGAGAATTTTTATATTTCCATGTGGAGAAAAAGGGGAGAATGTCAATTTGTATGCAGGATAAATGAATCTTAGGCTGAAGCAATTGTCATTGATTAGAAGCTTAAATAAAGGTGGAATGGTATGTATGTTGAGCACCCAAATGGGAAGATGATTCTGAATGTTTGTTGACTTTCAGCCCCAAATTAATTCTTTTATAGTCTCTCTACAAAGCAACAAGCCTGAAAATTACATTTCTTAAATTCTCTTGGAAACGTTTTTCCATCACGTTCCATCATTTAAAGATATTAATATGAAATTGGAAGGCAGGAAAAAGGGAGAGACCTTACATTTCTCTGCTTTGGGCTCTGGGAGCATCAGAATCAGGCAACTGCAAACTCCAAAATTATTTGTGGGGTTCAGCAGCATCAGTAAGAGTGAGGGCTCCAAGACTCCTGGAGCTTCACCAAGCATATGAACTGAAAAAATTACTCAGAGTAGGATAGAATTTCCAGCATCAGGAATGACAGCACTCTCCCAGGAGCATTTGTGGGTTCGTAGTAATGTCACTTCCTCTTTGACTCACCCATTCTTTCTGTGGTAGCTGCTACCTACACTTATTGGAATATTCTCCTTTCTGCTTCTCATTTCTGAGCTGCAATTGCTTATTTTCAATTTCCTACTGAACCATTCCCTAGGTATCCTGAAGGCATCTCAAGCTCAAAATGTGAAAACTAAATTAATTAACCTTCTCAAACCAATTTTTTCTGTACTCCCTGTTTGAATTAATAAGATCACTACCAGTTTAATAGTTTAATCTAGAACCCCAAATTTATATCCCTTTACATATATAATGGTCAACAAAATGCTGCCCCAAATTCCTCTGAAGTTCTGTTCATTTTTTCCTCATTTTTCTTTTTTTCCTACCTGTTCTTGATACTGCATAATTACTACAGACATATCTTCAAGTTCACTGGTTCTTGCTCCTGACAACTCAAATCTGCTGGTGATCTCCTCCAGTAATTTCATTAAGTTATTGTACTTTTCAACTCCAGAATTTCCACTTGGTGTTATTAATAATTTTTATATAATTGATATTCTCTATTCAATGAGACGTTGTCAGACTTTCCACTACTTCTTTAGACATGGTTTCCTTTAGTTCTCAGAATATATTCATAATAGCTGCCTTGAAGTCTTATACTGTTAAGTGCAACATCTGCGAACCTACAAAAGCAGTTTCTATTATCCTTTTGTTTCACATATGTGGTACATCTTTATGTTCTTCACATGTCTCATCATTTTCTGCTTAAAACTAGACAGTTTTTGATAATATATTGTCACAGCTCTGGTTACTGATCCCTTTCTTCTCCAGTGTTGATGTTCTTATTGTTTTCTTGATTCGTTGGTTAATTCCTTGACTGAGCTGTGAAGTCTATTTCCTCTGCATTGTGCAGTCTGTGATGTTCCTGCTCAGATTTTCTTACCTTGTTTTTAATCTTTCAGCTTGGCCACCTTTGAGACATCATAAACCACTTATTGTTCAATACTTTTGCTTCAGTCTCCTTGGCCAATTAGAATTTTATCCTTTACTAATAGATGTGTGTCTGTGGTTTGGAGGCTGCTTTCACAGTTCAAAGAGTTTACATTTTTGCCTCATATGTAGTCTGGGACTAACTGCTGGATGCTACCTCTCTAGTCGTTCCTAAGAGGTACATGCACCTGGGCACTCACACAGTCTTCCAGATTACCAGGAATTTGTGTGACTTTATTTTTAATCTTAGCCTCCTAGGAATTGCCCTTAGTTTGGTATAGCTTATTCTTCAGACATTATTTGGTTAGAAGTTATGCTTAAGTTTCTTGTGCCAGTGAGGTTTCCACTCTGGATTATGGATCTATGTATGGCTTGGAGAATATTTTCATTTCTGCCCCATGACTTTGCCTGATTTCTCCTAAGTGGCTATAGCCAGTGCATACCACAGCTGCCCCTATTCTCTGGGTTGTCTGTGATTCCAGTAGGGTTTTTCTTGTCTCTTGCTGTTTTACTGTATTAAACTTCTGTTTTCCATGCAATTTGGTTTGTTGATAGCTGTATCATGGTGCTATGAGTGCCTCCTTAACAGCTGTCCACTGAAGCTCCATTGTTTTTGACATGAAAGTCTCCAAGCTCATTCCAAATAAAGGCAGGACCCTCAGGTGGAGCTGTGGAGTTCTTCATACTCATGTTATGCCTGTCCTTCTGGCAGAACCAGCGTGCCACTGAATAAGAGCTGGGGTAGGGACAGCAGCCTACTTGTTTTAAAGTGACATCTTGCTCCATAAATGGGCACTAGGGGTAAGAGAATCCCTGGTCATTTCAGCTTTCCCCTCTGGCATGAACTTCCACTCTACAAGTAAGCTGGATATCAGAGGTTTTGAGGGGCCTCTAGTATTCTCAAGGGGCCTGCCTTGTCTGGTATAGAGCTTTTTATAATTATAATTATTGTGGCAAGAACAGTTAACATGAATACCACTTGACCAATTTTTAAGTGCATAATACAGTATTGTTAACTATATAGGGACAATGTTGTAGAGCAGATCTCTAGAACTAATTAATCTTTCATAACTGAAACTATACATTGAATAGCAACTCTCATCATTCTTTGGCCCAGACTCTGGCAACCAGCATTCTACTTTCTGTTTCCATGAGTTTGACTGCTTTAGATACCTCATGTAAGTAGGATCTCTGCCCTACAAGTAGGTGCTGGGTGGGTAAAAATAGCCTCCATCATCTCCTTGGTGCTTATCTGTCATTCTGGCATAGAACTTCAACATTTAAGGAGTTACTCTCTCAGGGTGAAACCTGAAACCAAAACCCTGGACTGGAAGCCAGAGGAGAGGGAGTCCCTGTCTTCTTGACACCTGCCTAAAGCAGATCATCCAGATCAAAATAGAGTAGGGCTTCCATAATGTGGAGCTGGGAAGAAAGGGAGGGGAGGAGCAGTGGTGGGGTTTAAAAGCCAGACTCACTGTTCTTAACAAGATTTAGTAATTTTCTAGTTTCTTTAATTCCTGAATAGATACGACAATTTCCAGAGACTCTAAGTTATTTTTCTGCATAAGTTTCTCTAGTCAAATGTTTGTTTTGTTGGGGAGAGAGTCCACCAGGATTTACACCCTGCTATTCCAAAATTCCCTCTCATTTGATTGTGATGTAGAAAATCTACAGAAAATATTTCAGAACTCACCACTTACTCTGCACATAGTGTCATTAATCATGCTCTCTCTATTACCAAATCTTTACAGTTCTCCCTGATAATTTAACCATACCCTCTTCTGCATCACCCTTCATGGCTTTAGGTCATAATTTCATCATTTCTTAGTTAGATTACTTAAACAACATATTAATTACTTCACAATGCTACCATGACATTATGAAAATTAAATTCTCTTCATAATCTCTATTTTATCATTTCAATAGCTCTCTATAAATTACAGAATGTATTCCAAATTATTTTGATTGATATTTAAGACCCTTCAAAGTTCTTATTTTAAGCTAACTTTCTGTCATCAAAAAACTCTCCCTTGTTCACCACATACTTCAAACATACTGTCTATTTTCTGTTCACTTAATATGTCGGAATATTCTATGCATTTGTACTGTCCTACCTGTAATTATCTCTGCCTACGTGTTTCTTCTTGTATCTCTGTATACCAAACCTGTACCTATTAAAGGCACAGTTGCCTCTTTGGGGAAAGGTGGATTCTTTTATGAGAAATTTTCACACTTCATGAAACAAAGTTTGACTTACTGCATACCTGTATCATAATGCTTATCATTGAGTTATTTGGGGTCAGTCACCAATAACAGGATTCTGAGATCCCTGAGGCCA